GTCCCTTCATATTGACCAATCTCGGGCACATACGTTGGAGCTTCAGGTGCATTTCGTCAATTTGTCGGCAGTACTTCTCCGCCGTAATCGTTTTGCCCCGATTCAAGAAGCTGTGATGGATGAGACCGGCCGCAGACCACCAAACAGTCACCATAACCTTTTTTTGGTGCAATTTCGGCTTCGGGAAGTGTTGTGGAGCTTCTCCGGCATCCAACCACTGTGCCGAACGTCGCCGGTTGTCGTAGAGGATCCACTTCTCATCATACGTTAAAATACGCTCGAGAAATGGGTCGTTTTGTTGCGCAGAATGAGCGTAGAAGACACCTCAAAACGACGATTTTTTTTTATTATCGTTCAATTCATGCGGCACCCATTTATCCAACTTTTTTGACTTCCCTATTTGCTTTAAATGGTGAACGACTGTTGAGTGGTCGACCTCGAGTTCAACAGCAACTTCTCGTGTGGTTTTGCGAGGATCAGCTTCAATTAAGGCTTTCAAATGTTCGTTATCAACCGCAGTGGCCGGCCGCGACCATCTTCATCTTCGAGGCTCTCGTCACCATTGCGAAATTTCTTGACCCACCGTTGTGCCACACGTTCGTTAGTGGTTCCTGGGCCAAACGTATCATTGATATCACGAGCTGTCTCGGCAGCTTTTCGGCCTAGTTTTAACTGGAACAAGAAAATCGTGCGGATTTGAATTTTGTCCATGATGTCGAAAAGCCTGCAAAAAAATGAATGAAGAGATTGAGAACGGTAACGGATAACACGATTCGATAGAGCGAAAAACGCACTTCAAAATTATATATAACATGGCTATATATATCAATGAATTAATTCAGAAATCATATATAAATATAACATATGTGAGAAAACAACATTATTTTTGCACCAACCTAATAGAATTGCTATGCACAATTTCTAACAAACGTTTTTTTTTGTAATTCATGGCAGGTTTTAACATTTTGTTTTCATATTTCCATCCTCAGTCCGTAGCTTCAAGCGTTCTCTAAACTCCGTACAATATAATGATTTGGTAATAGGATCGTAGTGAATGGTATCTTGTGGCAGATGCTGTTGATGGTAGCCGCTGTGGCGATACAAATGGCACTTATGACACGACTTTCTTTTTTAAAACTGTATGCCCCAATGAGACAAGCAAATCACTGGATTTTCCACCATTGCTTTGTTTCCAAAGTTTTCTATCGTATCATGTTGTTGGCCTGGTTCAATGAAAGAGCAAGCACATGTCTCCAATTCATTGTCCCCTTTCATGAATTTCTGAAACAATGTTTTCTTCCCTATTTCCCTAATGAATAGTAAATATCTACATAACTTTTGCTCCAGAACTTGTTTCAGACTGTTAATGTTATAAACCCTGATGACTCGCTAAGTATTATTGTCAGAGCGAAAATAAAATGTTTTTCTCTCGGGGTCCGCATACTGCAGAAGCAAGATCAGTAGATCTGTATCTTCTCCAAGGTTAGTGTTTTGGTATTGAGAACTTGCTATATAGCTGCGTGAACATTTCAGAGGCCAACATGCCATTTAGGTAGTTTTCCACATAAAGATAGTTCCGAAATGCTCTCTGCACTGCTTTACCACACACCATGTGCTTAACAGCATTCTCCCCATAAACAGTCTCTAGGATGTCTCTTCGTCTCGAACCTTGCATGAGTGTACCAATAGCAAAAGCACATTCATCAGCGTATAAAAGCTTCCTAACATCATAATGCTTTTCAAGTCACCGTTCTCTGGTGAATTGTAGATAATTTCTGACGCTTTGTAGAACAAGGGGTGATCAAAACTCGCAATGGGTGAAATTCTGTCTTGCTGCAAGATTACAAATGTAGGTAAGAGTGGACAGAATGCCGTTTGACCCCCCCCCGGATACATATCAAACATTGGTAAATAAGTCATCGAGGATTTTCCTACAAGCTCACGTCCATTATTATGAATAATGTTCATTATTCCTTGCCAATTCGGAGTGTCCCGATGAAATCAAAACGAGACCTTTCAAAGGATGTCTACAGTCGGTGCAGAACAGTGAATTTCTGGGAGAATTTCAAACTTGATAGTGCGACGCGCGAACGTGGAAAATCAATAGCCAACGATGCCAACCCCTGACACTTCTTTCGCGTTTAACTGGGAAACTTTCTTCCTTGGCATAACATACGCTGTCTGCTGCTCTGGTTTTGATGCTGCAATCATACCCATCCCGTGAAAAGTTCCCTTTTCATCCAACGTTAAGATATTGTGATCAGTATTGTCAACTGCAAATAACACCGTACCAAATGAACCTCGGCCTAGTATTTCTGCTGCTACCACATCAACTGCATTTTTCATTAACCTTTGAACCCCTGAATATGAAGAGCTAAAACCCATTACAGACAAAGTGTCAACAAGAAATTTATAGAAGGCGTTGGCTAGCAGGTCCGATTTAAATTGGCGTTACCTCTACGGCCAAACTGCTTGTATAACTGCCTCTACAGTGGCAGCAAACATTTTGTGTTTGTCTGCCCCGACGAACAATTGACTTAACTGTTATACTAGAACATACCTATTCTATTGTAAATAGACTCTCCCACATATAATTAGTAGTAGTAGTAGCAGTCGCCAGGGAGCTCAGTGAGTTGGTCGAGTCAGTTGATGTTGGACATTAAAGTATCAACCACCCCAACTAGATTGCTGCGTCATTAACTATTATTTCAAGTTCCTAACGTTTTGTACGTCGAACCTTTTTTCGGACCGACTTAGTGAAATACAAGCCTCCACTGTGAAAACTACTCTACAACACATTGGCGACGAGGGATTCGTTCTCATACGGAGGAAGAAAATTTTTTCGTTTAACATTAACATTGAGCGAAATGAAGTAAGTTGGTATTCTTAAGCGGTACCTAGCTGTAGACTTTGTGCAGAAGGATACTTATTACTGACTAATGTGACGTTGCTCTTAATCTCACCCCTTATGAGCTTGCTACCAGTCTCGATGATTGCTACTTTCTGACTCGCTTCATCGCCATATTTTGCACTCTTGAAATAAGTCTGAAGTATTTTCCCGGTTTGTTCTCTCGTTGTAACGATATCGTAAAGGCCTTCCCCTTCTCAGATATGAATAGAATTTCCATACCGTTCTTTCAACTTTTGCTTTAAATCATAGCTTCCATACGCAAAACCCTCATCAATTACAAATTGTTGTTTGGATTGGTTTGTTTTGTTTTACGGCATATCAACCTCAATGGGTCATTTAATGCCGACAACTTTTTTTTTTTCCTGGTAATATTTTTGTTTTGTCAAAAATCTTTTTCTATTAATATTTTTCCTCAAAAACGTATAGCTGATAATATTATTTTTTTCAAAAACGTATAGCTGGTAATATTATTTTTTCCAAAATGTATAGCTGGTAATATTATTTTTCCAAAAACGTACAGCTGGTAATATTTTTCCAAAAACGTATTGCTGGTAATAGTTTTTTCTCTTTCAAAAACATATTGCTGTTCATATTTTTCTCTTTCCTCAAAAATTAATTTCTGGTAATAATTTTTTACAAAGACTTTCTGGTATTAAAACCTATTTTTACACTTTTATAATGCCTTTTACCTGTTTCTGGATTAACTATTTACCCATTGCTGGGACCCTAACAGGTGCTACCACCCCAGGTCAGGGTGGACCTGGAAACACCAACAATTAAGAGGAGGTTCCACGCTCCTCAAAGCCTCCTGATCAGAGGCCTTGCTGTTGAACGTAGTTTATTGTCTTACCCTGGGCGCGGATGTAGTTTATCGTCATACTCAGGATGCGGATTTAGTCTGAGTTTCGGGGTTAACTATTTACCCATAGATGGGACCCTAACAGGTGCTACCACCCCGGGTCAGGGCGGACCTGGGAACATCAGTAATTAAGAGGTGGTTCCACGCTCCTGAAAGCCTGTTGGACGTAGTTTATCGTCTTACCCTTCTGATACCGTAATCTGTTCTTCATCATTTGCTGGTAGACGATCACAGACCCTTAAAAAACAGTCTGTTTCTGGTCCTAATTTGTTGGTCGCCCAGTTCGCTTTAGTTTTGCCTTTGACTCTGATTGAAACTGGTTTGTTATGTCCTGACTATTACGAAAGTACGCACTACAAAGCTGGTGATAAATGCAATCGTTAGCGTGTAAATCATTGGCAAAATATTCAATTCAGCTCTTCACAGTCAAGGGACCAGTCATCATCTGATTGTGCATTGCATTTTTTTTAATCCTCTCTGGGTAAGTGCGAACTTCACTAAAGCTTTCATCATGTCTACTCTCGATTACCTCGCGATCACAGAAAAGACAATCTTTCTCTGGATCATAAGGCCTAAGAAAGTTTTTTTCTCGTCTGAGTCTATCCTTCAATCTAATCCGTCCTTGCATGGAATATTGTTGTCATATATGGTCTGGTGTATGTCTTGAGTTCCTCGACAAAATCCAGAGTCGAATATGTAATGTGATAGGTCCTGATCTGGCATCTCATCTATAGTCGCTTTCTCACAGATGTACCGTGGCTTCTCTCTGTCTCTTCTACATGTATTTTCATGGTAACTGGTCAGACGAGAAACTTTCGCTGGTTCCCAGACTGCATCAATTTAAGCTAGCTACTAGGCTGGCATCTCTAGATATTTCAGTTTATAACGATCTGCATGAAGAACATGGTGGCTAAGAGAAACAGGGACCGACTAAGATAGATAGATAGATAGATAGATAGATAGATAGATAGATATTAAGAGATTTTGATAGAGAAACAGAGAAAAGATACAGATAGAAAGTTATAGGCAGACAGAGATAGATAGATAGATAGATAGATAGATAGATAGATAGATAGATAGATAGATAGATAGATAGGGAGTGACATAGATAGATAGATAGATAGATAGATAGATAGATAGATAGAAATAATAAAAAAAGAAGGAAAGCAGGTGCCCTATCTTCCATCAAATAAACCAGTCTCCATAGCTATGTCAGATAATAATGATCTA